TAGGTTAGGGCGAAAAGCAACTATTTGGGATATTTGTTCAAAATTTGGAATAGCAGAAGGTACTGTACCTTTGTTTACATCAAGAGTTATTGAGGCTCTAAAATCATTAAAAAAAGATGTTATTATTTGGCCTCGTAATAACTATCGACAAAGAATTCATATGGGTTTTGAAGAAATGTACGGTTTTCCAAATGTAATTGGTGCATTAGATGGGTCTCATATGAACTTGTTTGAGGCCCCTAGTAAACTAAACAAGGATGTTTATTTTACACGAAAACGCCGTTATGCTATACATCTTCAGGCTGTTGTCGATCATAAGGGAATTTTTATAAATTATGATCTTGGATATCCTGCATCTGTTCATGATGCAAAAGTGTTTCGAAATTCTAGTTTATATCGTTGCAGAAATCAACTTTTCGAAGGAAATGATTATGTTTTGGCTGATTCTGCATATCCGATTTCATTAAATATTATCCCTTCATTTAAAAATCCCTCAGGTCCAGATAAAGATAGGCAAAATTTATTTAATAAAAAGCATAGCAAATCTCGTGTTGTAGTTGAGCAAGCATTTGGCCGACTAAAAAACAGATTTCAATTATTAAAAGAACTTCGGACAAGAAATACTAAAATTGCATCTGATTTGATAGAAATTTCATTAATCTTACATAATCTATTAGAAAGAAATGAAGATGAATGGGATGAACCTTCAGAGCAAATATTGATGCATCGAATGCAATATAATGATAACGATAATAATTCACAAAGAGACCGTGCAATTAAAGAAGCAGGAAAAGTTAAAAGGCAAAATCTAATGGATATAGTATTAAGTTAATTTTGCAATATATAAACGAAATATATTATATTATGATACGTATTCATTTATTATACTATTTAATAATTTATTAAATTCAATAAATATTAGATTTTAGTCTAAAATTTTTTTTTTCTTTATACTTTATTGTTTTGTTTCCCATTTTTGTGACTTACTACAGAAATACATTTGGGTGTTTTTTTCTGCTAATCAAGCAACTTATGCAGCTTTTTTAGTATAATTTATATTCTTTTCTTTTTGCTCTTTTTTTTTTTTTCTTAACATAAGATGTATTAAAATTTTACACAAATGATTGTTATCCCCTAACAGGTCATAGAATCATAAAATGTTGAATTTATACAAATGACTGTCATCCTGACAGGCCATATCCTTAGAACAATCATATGAGTGCCACCAAGGGAAAACCCACGAACCTAGCATAACCACCACGATCAGTTACATATGGAGTTGGAATTAATTACCGAAATTTTAATGACGCATGTGTCAGTCATAGTTAATAATGAGTTAATAATGACAATGTTTATTTATATATTGTAACTTAATAACAAGTGTCGTTTAAAAATTTTCTTACCAAATGTTTCATTAATGAAATCCGACTATTCGACACAATCGAATTTAAAAAAATGTTTGCTTGCTGAATAATAAAAATAAATTAATGAATTTGAAACCAATAAAACATGTATCAAATGCGGAAATGTTAAGAGCAGAATATGAATAATGTTTATGAATTGCAAGAAAGTGCCATAGAACCTGAAGAAATCGAAGATGTAGTTTATAAATAACTTATAGATAATATGGAAGAAGAGAGTGCACGAATGAATCTTAATGCAATTATAAAGCTTTCAAATCGGATTAATAAAATTAGAAAATATTGAATCACATACTAACTTAATAGCGATTGAGATTGAGATTGTGAGGCATTATAGAAAGGTGACGGATATTTTTATCATAAGAAGCATTATATTATTCACTTATTGGT